AGTCAGTAGGCTTATTTTAACAGTTTTAATTATTATTATTTAATTGTATGTGTTTTATATTGTTTTATTTTTTATCAGCAGCGTTTTGTTGTTTCTAAAGGGCTTTTTAAATAAAGTTTTGTTGTACTGGTCCATGGGTATGGGGCGGAGCCTTCGCAGTACAGTAAGGATGAGTGACAGGAGGAGGAGCCAATCAGTGGCGGCGCTAGAGTTTAACAGTGTCGGAGGCTGCGGCTCTCGGTCTGAGCCACCTGCAGCAGCCCGGAGGAGACGGACTCTTCACCGCACCGTTAGAAACTCACCCCGCGGCGGCTCACGGAGAACCGCAAACTCACCTGAAAAATGTTTCCAAAATATCTATACTTCGTGTTTCTGATCGGGGTTGTCTTCAAAAGTGAGTAAAATTGTTTTTTTCAAACAATGTTTTATGCTAACATCTAAACTATCCAACAGGTTGTTAGCTTAGTTTTAAAAACCTAAAGTTATTTATAAGGTTGGATTTAAAAGGTTGTCTAACTACAATATGTGGTTTAATCTGTAACAAAACTTTATTTTTGTAATAAATAATAGTATTTGTGTAAAATCATTTTTCTGTGTTCAAAATGGTCAAAACAGACTTTATTTTTATTTGTGCTGTTTTTCCTCCTAAAGTTCATATAATAAAAATAAAATGAATCTGAATATTTCTATTAATTTTTAGTTTATGTGAGTAAATTAATGTTAAAGACATTTTAAAATTCACTTAGGTTGGTTGACACTTAACACTTTAAATACAATAACATTTTATACATTAGGTTATAATTTAATTGGAGCTTTCTGCCTTCATGTTAGTTTATCATCCTTTATTGAGAACTGACTGTCAAGAATGAACAGATTACTGCATAGATTTACTCTGATACTTGAAAATTATTCTAATAAATCAAACATATTGCAAATTTACCAAAACAAAAGCAGATATTGGTTACTCTCTTAATAATTTGCTTTTCAAAATAAGATTTCACTCAATAAAGCTGCTGTTTTACTATATTTAGGCTCAGATTTAATAAAAACAACATTTTTAGTTGTATAGTATATGTTTATAGGAGTTTTCCTATAAGTATTTTTTTTTCCTGACTCACTGCTGAAAGCTCTGCATCTCTACTGGAGCACTCTTTCTTAAAGTTCACTCTTTGGCCTCTTGACAGCCTAAAGGAGCTGCTTGAAGTAGTTTGAGTTGCTCTTCAGTTCGTGTCACTCTTTTCATGGAATCTGAGCCACTTTAAAGTTTGTTTCTAAGTTTCGGAGGCGTCCATGTGTGTGTGTCTGCCGTCCCGTCAGGAGTTAAACAGGGAAGTCAACGAGTCGAGGTGTGTGAAGATGTAGACCTCCTGAGGGTTCTGCTCCTCTTCCTCCTCAGAGTCTGGTGCCACGCTTTGCAAAGCCCTCGGTAATAAAAGTCACTTACAGCGGACAGTATGTCCTCCTGCTGCYCCACATGCTGCATCAGGACTCCTCCACATGTGTCGCGTTTCGTCGGCCAGTCCRCATGAGCTCATAACTAGAGCATGGAAGGCTTTCTGTGGAGTCGGCATGCAGCTGGAGGAAGCTGAAAAAGTCAGTTATCATCCGAAGGTGAAGGAGATCACGTGTTTGCCCATATTTATGTGGAGGACCTTTTCTGTTATGATCACCTACCATGTCATTTATATAAAKTTAGCACAAAACATAAGGGAATTAGGGTTTGGTCGATTCTTGGCAGCACCTGGGGGTACAAGAAGATCAGAACGAGTCAATAGAATAGAATAGAAACAGCCTTTATTGTCCCACGGAGGGGAAATTCAGGTGTAACTGCAGCATCAATATACACACAAACACATTTGGGTCTTTTTTGATACTGTAAATAATCAACCAGACRTCTGACAATGGCTCCCTACTTCAGTTATTCCTGGCTGTGCAGTGTCAATATCACTATCACAATCAAACAGATGCCGCTCAACCAACCATCTCKCCTCCCAAAACACAAACACAAACCTAAAAAGTGGGAAATCAATGTCGGACGTTAATATCGGCCCCGTTTTACATATCGGACCGATACCAATATTCTAAAAAATGACCAATATCGGCCGATACCGATATCAATACCGATATATCGTGCATGCCTACAAAATAAGCTCTTTTGCTGAGACGATTTGGTAGTTTTTTTCATGTGTGCAACCCACATACTCTGCTCTACTGCTCATCTCACAAATGCATGTTCCTTACAAATGTAGCACCATTTAAAAAATAATATATAATTCAATAATTTTAACAAAAAAAAAGCTAAAATTTGTTGTTGTAGCTGAGAGTCGTCCTGTGAGTCTCACAATGTTGATTCATGAGGTTTGGCCTAAATAGCTACAAGATGATGCTTTGTTTAAAAAAACTCTGGCTTTAAAGGCAGCAGATATACTTTACATGAGGAACATGGTAGAGTTATGATTGTTTTTATTTTGTGGGGGAGTTTCTGCTCTTTTCTCTGAGGAAATATCGAGCCGAGGTTCTGATTGTTCCTCCTCCTTGTTCGTGTGAAGTTCTGATCTTTGTTCCGCTGCCCTGTGGACTTCCCTGTCCACGTCTGCTTATCTTCCTCATTTCACTCTGTATTGTCTTTTTGTCCACTTTTCTTAGACTCTGTCCCTGTTGCTGTTTGTCCCCCCTCCTCTCGTGTTGCTGCATGTCTGCTGCATCCGGTTGGATTAGACCTGCTTCGGGGCAGTAAATCTCGTCCTGTAATTGGAAAGCATGTGCTGGCGGAGCTTTAATTGGATATGATACGTTCAGAGGCCCCGCAAGTGAGCTCCTGCTCCAGGGAGCCATCTGTTCCCTCCGAGTTACAGTAAAAGYTCTGTTTGCTCGTTTGGAGAGAAGTCGTTTGCGTTCCTCCTCCGGTCTGAGATGCTGCTTCAATCTGAGGCTGTCTGATTAGCGATAAAARGGAGGAAAACATCATTTTGAGGTAATCAGCTGCAATAAATGGAGCTGTTGATCATAATATAATAATCATTGCTGTCTCAGYCCAATCTTGTCAGCAGCAGAAAGAGCCAGCGTCCAAGTCGAGGTGGAGTTTATCAACCCCAAGAGCTGCTRGTTGGTGAAACGTGTTTTTATACCCAACATTTGTTTTCTGAATAAACTATAAGTTTGCACAAATGTAAGCTAGGGTCCCATTTGTCCTCTTYAGCTGTCTCCACTGCCCCACCTACTTTTGTCTCGTCAGTGTACCTCTAAGGCAGCGGTTCCCATCRTTTTTAGACTTATGRACCCCCTGAACCATTTTGTCACATCCCTAGTACCCCCCTCAGTCAAACGTAATGATGATTCTCCAAAACTAAATGAAAATTATTTATTTAATCCCCTTAACATTCAATTCTCAGGCATTTTATTCTTTTAAACTCAAATTAAACATAAAGATAAATATGTTGCCTTGAAAATGAATAAGTAATTAAATGAATAGACCAAGTAACAGCAGGTACAGGAAGCAGCAGCATTCAAAATACCTCAGAAACTCACCCAAATTAGCTAATTTTGTGAGATTCCGCATTTTATACCGGATTCTATTTTGTTTAGTCAATTGCACGATTCTGTCTGCATTTTTCACATTGAGAAAATCATAGGGCCCTACATATCTCAGTCCTATTTTTATTTTTAAAAAAATTACACGCCTGGGAAATTTTTCCACGTACCTCCTGCAATATGCTTGCATACCACTGGGGGTACACATACCCCTGGTTGGGAATCACTGTAAGGCATTAAATAAAAAGAAATATAAAAGCTATATAATTAAATATTTTTCTCTCCTCTGCAAAAAAGGTCAAATGGTCTTTAGCTCAGTTTCTTAAGCTCTTATTCTTTAACTGGAAGATTAGCAGTTTAATCCGTGAGATACTCTGGATTTTTCATGTGAAGGGTCARGTCATGAAATGATAATTCATGAAAACGAATTAAACCTCTATTACACCYGATTTCAGGTTTTGGAAAAAAACGTTTTGCTCACAAGGGAAGTATATTTCGAGAATTCAAACATCTCATTGTTTCATATTAAAGGGAACCTACAAAATGTAGTTTTTTAGGACTGATCTATGCTGTAAACATTGTAAAATCTGAATACAAACTGTTCAGTTCATTTCTGTTGAATCAGCTCCTTTCATTAGCCAGTTGTAGATGAACATCCAATGATTAATTTCTGCAAGTTTCATTAACAGCATCCAGTTTATTCATGAGATGCTTTGGTAAAAGTACAAACAAATAAATAGATACAAATAAAAACATTATTGCCCCGACGGGTCAAAATTACTGGTTTGTTGGTAAAACTTTAGGTTCTTCTGTAAACTTTAGTTGTGATGCAGTTTAAACCCAACATTGTCATCAATCTACAACTAACTTTTCAGAGAAGTATTAAAGGTGTTTTTGTGAATTATTTATGATTTTCTCACAGAATCAAAGGTGAAACCACAACAGTAATTCTTTATAAAACGTGACTCTTATAGGAGCATTTATGATTTAAAACAAACAATCTGGTCTTCTTCCCCTTTTTGTACGAGGTGTCCCGAGTGTCCAAGCAGGGTGAAGTCGGCTCGTGAAAATAAAGCTTTTTTTTTTTCAGCACCAGATTTTAGAACAAGTCGTTTTAGTCATTTCTAAAATATATATTTAAAAAAAAAACAGATGGGAAGTTTTATGTTTGGGGAAGTGGATCTAACAGTCCTTTCATGAGCAGGCACTTCACAGGAGTGTTTTGTACTCGTGAGTAAAAGTGACCTTTAAAGCCAGATTCCGTATCTGTTTCCGTTGCAGTTTAAAAAAGAGGCAAAACTGAAATTTACTTGGTAGCAGAAACATCTTTGTTAGCAAAAAGGCATATAGTGTTTCAGTAAATTAGTTCTTCAGACTCAGGWGGAGGAAGAAGTATCTTGATTCTGAGTGATGGATCGATGGATCGGAGCCTCATCCTCAGTAATGAGGGCGTTGGGTTTGTTGTGGTGAAGAAAGATTTGAGTCGAAAGMTACTGGTCTGTTTACGATCCAACCCTCACCTGTAGTCATGGGATCATGACTGGGTGGGCTCAGGTTTAGAGAAGGATGAGGAGCTCTGAGTAGAGCTGCTGCTCCTCTGCGTRGACAGGAGTCAGCTGAGGTGGTTRACCTGATCTGGATGAACTGGAGACCCCAGGAAGACCCAGAACTTCCTGATATATTATTTATTCTCTCTGCCCTGGGACCTGGGCAGGTTTGTTGAACATCCCTCTAACCCGTATCCTCCTGAGTGGGTTTTCACAGGCCGACCTTAGACCCACTTGTTCCCCGGCCTGACCCAGTCATCCCTTTTGTGTCTGCAGGAGATTATCCGGCTGTAGGTTAAATCCTTAAAGCCAGGGCTCTCTGTTAGACGTGCAGAGTGTGCTTTTAATTACTCCACTTTTTCATCATTGTTATACCAACTTCAGCTTTCCAGGCTGTTTCCAGAATCACATCATCATCATCCTCATGGGTGACCTCAGACCATTAAACAGTCAAAGCAACAAAAAAGTCAAGTTGAAGCGAATATTTAATCTGTGGTGAAGCGAAAGATATCAAACAGTTTCCCCAACAGTTTTCATTACATTTTCCTACAGTAAAGGTTACATTTGTGGCTGATATTTTATCATGTAAAGTTATTTTAGAGAAGCAGCTGTGGACATTACAGTGGAAGGAGAACCACAGTGTGTGTTTGTTTTTATCTTTCCAAACAAACTCTTCCCTGCCGTCTCTTTGTCTGTCACTTCCTCATTTCCAAATGCAGACTCCGGGTTTTTATGACGAGACAATGACCGTCTGTTGTGGTTATGTGGGCCATTTACACCCCTTCAGGACACCTCGCTGTACCAGGAAACTTTTGTATGATGCACAGTTTCAGCTTAAGATAAGATTACATCATGTAAACTAATATTTTTATAATGTTGGCTTGGTGATGTTCGAGTATCTGTTCTAGTCAGACACATGTTAAAAACCTCTGAAGGGAGGCGGCCAGGAGACATCCTAACCATTTTGATGCAGAGAATTAGKATCCCTACGGTCTCTAAGGATGAACCCGACCATCCTACAAAGAGGAACTTGGTTAAGCCTTAAACCTAAAAAAAAAAAATCTACCCACATAATTTATGTGGATGCTCAGTTTCTGGAAAGAATCCAAAATATGGAAAAGGGGGTTTATTTTTAGTTCAAGCTGTTCGTTATCCTGAATGTAGATATTCATACGTGAAGGACACAATGAAATAATTAACCTTCGTGTGTTCACGGACACAYAAGTCCTTGTAATAACATGAAATGGCCTCATCGCGGCCAGCTAGATCTGATCTAAGAGGTTTTTCATTAATCTCATTCTCTTGTTATCCAGTAAGACAYGTTCGATGTATTTAGGTCCTAATCTAGAGGAGGTCGTCTCAAACCCATMCATGAGTGTTTCTGACAGCAGGAATGCCGTCTCGCTTCATGGATAACTGCAAACATTTCTGATCCTTTGGTTTATAAACATTAAAAATATCACCTCAAACGTGTCTATTTTCCTACTGTTTTCACTTTCCTACTTAACTTACTTTTTCCACTCCCAGGTTACACAACGTTTAAAGGAGTGTGACCAGTGCGATAAAAAAGTAGTCACCCCTTGTATGCTTTTATTGCTGTCATAAATCAACTGTGGTCCAAATAAATAGACCTGCTTTACAAAAAAAACTTTTATTTCACTGGTTTTAATCTGTAGAGGTTTAATTTCTCTTCGTTATTGAAGGTTTTGTTGAAAGATTCATGTAAAAACTCCAATTTAAATTGACCCCACAATTGATTTMTCAGCAYTTAAAGCATAAAACATCCAAGGGGGTGAATACTTGTCGTAGGCACTGTAGATGTGGTAAATTGTGATCATAAAWGTGCGCTGTCGCAGGGTTTGTGGACTCTACAGTTCTCATCTCCAACTGACGCTTGGTTACAAAGTAATAAACCTGTACAGGTCTTTGTGTTTATAATCACATCCAGCTCTGTTTGTTATATTATTCTTGATTCTTTTGGTAAAAATGATTTGTTCAAAGCGAGCAATTGGCTAAATTCAGTGCATGAAGAGTTGATGGAAACTAATATTGACTCAAACTGCCCTGTAGTTTCTTGCGTTCCTCCATAAACACAATAAAAAGTAAGAGCAGACTAAACGGGACGAGGAGCAGCTGTAGTCATRTAAACAAACACGAAGCTGCTCGTTCCTTCAGGCTGGTCAAATGAAGTTAGCAGCTCTTTTACTCACTTTCCCATGTTGCAAACAGTCCTTATTTACAGAAGTTCTTATCTTCTGAATCACATCTTCTGTCAACGTTTCTGCTCACAGTTTTACTGCCTTCTGGTCACAGCTGAAACTGTTGAGTCGTTACAGACACAGTCTTTAAAKCGTTCAACAAACTGTTGGTTTTGTAGAAACTTCACTTGCTTTCAAGAGATAAACCAAAGAATATAKAATTATCTGTTTGTACACACGTCAGTAGTAAATTAAAATAGTAATTTAGTCCTTTTTTGTGATAAACTTTATACTGGTTGACTTTTTTGATTTTTTGTGTGAAGGGTTAAAGGTAGAAGCTGACTATTTATTTGACTTTTCTTTCAGCTGAAGTGACTATGAGTAATACCGCTGCTTATATGACCACCGGTGGGAATATGCCGTTTACAAGTTTCACGACCCCAATGCCAACAACCTCAAGCAACAACAACTTAATCAGCACCACTACAGCACCAGCTGCTACAACTCCAGTAGTTACAAGTACAACTACAACTCCAGCCACTTCCCCTGTCACCACAGGAAACCCAACCAACCCTCCGTCAACTCCAACCATGGGAGCAACAACGTCCTCAGCAAGACCAGAGACAAACAGCCCCACATCCAATGAGACTGCAAATACAACCACCGCACCTGGTCCAGCCAACAACACAACTAGCTCATTTGTCACAACCACAACTACAAATGCAACAATCACAACCTCAACTACAAATGCATCCTTCACAACCTCGGGTACAAATGCACCCYCCACAACCTCAACTACAAATGCAATAATCACAAACTTTACTACAAATGCACCCGCCACAACCTCAGGTACAAATGCACCCGCCACAACCTCAGGTACAAATGCACCGGTCACAACCTCGGGTACAAATGCAACAATCACAAACTCAACTACAAATGCACCGGTCACAACCTCGGGTACAAATGCAACAATCACAAACTCAACTACAAATGCACCGGTCACAACCTCGGGTACAGATGCACCCGTCACAACTTTGGGTACAGATGCCACCTCGGCCACAAACAGCTCTACTCCAACATTTATGACAACGACTATAAACTCAGTAACTGCAGAACTAACTACAACGATAAAGTCCACTAACACTTCTGAGACTCCCGCATCAAACACAACACTCACAACTGGACCCCCACCCTCTTCACCTCCCTCCAGCTCTCTCCCTCCCATCACCTCCCCAGGCAGTAGCATCACACACCCAACTGGAAAAACCACCAGCCTTAGTCCTTCAACCCCACAAGGTAAAACTAACCTCGTGCCAAACATTGATGTGTGTTCTTTGAAATAATATGATCTAAAACACAGGTGAGAGGAAATTCATGAGAGAACATGGTTTTTATGTGGTTGGTTTGTACCTTTTTTTAATTCCTTTAAAAATTTTGCGGTAAGTAGACATATTTGTGTAGAAGACAAAATTTGATATTTGCACAAAACTGAACCCTCTAGTTTTAATTTGTTGGTTATGAATTCCCATGAGTATCAAATTTTGTCTTTAAGCAACTTTAAATGGTAACTAATGTGCTAGCATTGGTGAACTTAGCTGGATAATCTGTGAAAATCTTCTTGGGCTGATTGTGTTTAATTTTTTTTAATGAAATAGTGACCAGCATCACTATGGAAACCACCACTACAAATGATACAATAACAGCAACACCCAGCCACGCTATTCCGACCCAGACATCCACCATGTCTACAACCGAACATGGAACTACCCKGATTGTCACCACTACCCTGCAGCCAACAGCAGGAACCACCTCCACAACAGCCCTACCCATCATCGGTCAGGTTTTAAATTTGTACCATCGGGTTTTGGGGAATTCACTAATTAAGTATGACAAAATCCTTGTTTAATGCCAGCTGGCATTAATTCTAAACCAAAAAAATCTTTTAAACTGATCTTGCAGCATCTTTTTGGGTCAACAATCAACMAACAATGTTTGCTTGTTCGTGAAACTCAATGCATAGTTTGCATTTGTCGTCACACCTGGGTCTTTTTGCCATCTTGATAAGCAAAACTAAAGAGTCAACACAGTTCACTAATCTTACTTTAGGCTAAATTCATGGAAATACAGAAGTCTATGACTCATGACTTGTTTTAGAAGTGTAAACATCAGAAAAATGTGAGTTAATTTTCTCCCAACGGTGCGTAGTGTGCAAAGATATCTTCTGATGGTACCTTCAGGCACCAGTGGAACCAAAAATTGTAAAAATATCTCTGAATATTTCATATCAGCTGATATTATATATAATGTTTTTGTTTTTAATGGTGTGGGGATGCATCGTGAACGATTTGAGTGACTGAAATGAACCGGGTTATTTTAGTGATTGACTTTTTATAAACCTCAGTCTTGCTCATAATTCAGCCTTGTTGTTTTAGTGAGATCGTATTGGAAACACTGAAAACATTGTTGTTTTTTATTCTTGCAGTTTGTCCTTCTGCTCCATGTCCTCTTCAAAGCGTCTGCCTCAGCAACACTTGTCAGTGCCTCTCTGGCAGCTACATGATGAATGGACGTTGCGTACCTGGTGAGAAAATAAAAACCGTCACGTTAAACACACCCGTGCTGTGACACGTGTTCATCGTTAGCTTAATTTCTGTTTGTCYTCGCAGCACAAGTCTTCCCAGGCACGCTTCATTTCTATTCGTTGCCGTTTGATGAAGAAATGAGGGTCCGGTCCTCAAAGATATTTCAGCAAACAGCAGCCAACATCTCAGCTGCAGTAAGTCGTCGAGTCATGAACGAGTTCAGCAGCTCCTGTTTTCGCTCTTTAAATCACGTTTGTTGTTTTTCAGCTCAAAAATGTCTTCAAAGGGGAGAAAGGTTACGTACGATCGGATGTCGTTCAGCTTCAGTGAGTATTTTCCTTTTTCTGCTGGACTAAAATGAAATTTTAAATTAAAAATAAACAGCTCAGATTTTTCTGTCAATTCTTCAGACGTGGAAGTGTGCTGGCAACTGTAAACAACATCTTTGAGGACACCAATGTCACTCAGGAGTCAGTCAATCAGATCATCAGCAGAGCTATAAGCAGCTTCCCTGGTCTGCTGAGCAATGCTACTTACACAGGTAATCACCAACTACACACATGTAAACACAAACACGTTATTTTTCTTACATGTTTGTGTCATCACTCTATCAGTGGCAGATCTGTGTAAGGTGGAACCCTTCCCTTGTGATGTTTCTACTACAAGCTGCACGAACATGAAGGGCCAAGCCGTTTGCTCCTGCAGAGCAGGCTACGTCTCCATGGTTTACTCCAGCACCAGCTGCAAAGGTACATTTCTTCATGATCATGACCCGTTTATGTTAAAATGTACACTTCCATTTAATAGATAGTTCCAACATGACATCACTTCCTGCACCAGGACAGCCTGAGCCATTATGATAACGTAAAAAAACAGCTTTCCTAATGACATTTATACTGTAGAGTACAAGTTTTTGTTTGAGCTTTCTACTCCGTTAACTGTGTGTGAGTGAGAGAACTATGATAGCTGTGTGTAGCTGGGTGCACGGGGGTAAAAAGCTGATAAATAAAGCAAAGTTTTGTTATATTTAAGTGTGTATATAAAGGATTAAAAGCAACGAACATGGGCTAAATTTGCTACTTAGCATTGAGCATCAACGAAAATAATTTTTATATTTTTACTTCTTTATGTGGCTGACTAATAAACAAGCAACACACCATCTAATACATGTGAATGGAGGACAACAGAGCTGCTGAAGGAAGAAGAAACTCAGCTTAGCCTGTTAGCTTTAGCGTTAGCCCCAACACTATATTGCCTTATATGTATTAGCTCYGCGCGAGCGCGACAAACAAGCTAAACTGTTGTCCTCCATCCATARTTTCAGTTKCAGGCTGAGTCATTTCTACCTTCTCCTCTCTGTCAACGCTCTCTGGTTTCATTTAAAAGAGTCGATCATCAGATATTGTCCAAGATTAACCTTCAGGGTGGATATAGCTCGCTAGCAGCCTCGCACCGAGGACCTATCCACGTCATCATTTACCCAGAATGCTTTGTGTGTAAATTAAATGGCCCCGTTCGTGTAATATATTTTTAAACTTTTAGTTWAAAAATTATAAAAACTAAACAGCCTACAGTATTTTTACAGTCTTTATTTTACAGTTAAAATAAATATTTATCAAATAAAGTCTAATGTTACAACTAATCATGGATCCCTTCAAGATCTCATATGTAAACTATAATGGCTCAGTTTGAGAATGAGCTGAAGTAACTGAGCTACAGTCCWSWGGACTGTAGCAAAACCTCCTCTCTGAAGTCCTCCTGTGTGGGAATGAGGCAGAGGAACTCCAGGGAGCGAGACACGCAGACGAGGTCATGAGCCGTAGCCTTTTCTCCATGCTGACCTCTGACCTCATCGTCATTTATCTCTCTGATCTATTTCTTTCTAACTGAGACGTTACCTTAGAAACGTGGAGGAATCAGCTTCAACAAGAGCTTCGGCTATCAAAGAAGAGACACGCCATGTCCCCGTTTGTGTTTCATAAAAACKCACACAGCCTGCTGATCCTGATGCATGTGCAACCAAGCGAGTCCGAAACTGCAGCGTCTCGTTTGTGTAACAAAGTTGTTGCGTTTGTTTTTGCAGCCTGTCCAAGTGGGCAGCGGGCAGAAGGAGATAAGTGCCAACCGTGAGTGCCCTCGTTTTACTTTTAGTTGAGTTTTAGCTCCCCCGTGTGGACAAATAAAACTCCTGTTTGTTTCTTTCAGGTGTCCGTTTGGGTACGCTGGATTCAACTGCAGGGACTGTAAGTGGCTTCATGCTTTAAAAGACAAACAACCAGTTAACCGTGTGTTTAACACATCGAACCGTCTTCACAGCGTCCCTGTTAGCGGTSGTGGTCATCTCCTGCGTACTGGGAGGAGTTCTGCTCATCCTTGTTCTGTTGGTGCTTCTTTACTACTGCTGGTGAGACAATTATTGACCAACATGTTTGTTTTGCACATCTGAGCTGTCATTTTGCTGTCCTTACATCCCAGTTTACATTCTTGTCTCGACCAGGAGGAAGTGCTCATGTAGGATGCCGTCCTACAACACCAGTCCGTACTCAGACGACCTGAACAAGTCCTGGTCCACTGCCATCATGACCATCCCTCGTGCCACCACTAACTGGGAAGCAGCGACTTCCATCGAGATGACGGAGGGGGGCAATGTTAACGTCGTGGAGCAGAAAAAGCCCCAAAGCAACGGCTTTGTGAGTTTCTTCTCCTTCTGTTAATCACCTAAAAAAAAACTCATCAAGTTTGTTCCTTTTTGCTCCATCTTTTCCACTTCAGTTATAAATTGAAAGGCTCTCACCTGGAAGGTTTTGATTTGCAAATTAACACGGTTGTTTACTAACAAAACTTGTTCTAAATWTAAATAATACTGATTAACCACTGATCATTTAAACAGTGCTGCTAGCATTAGCCCCRCACACCCTGCTCCCTGCTTTGCCTGACTCACAGTGTGTTGTTTAGGGGTCTCATCTGAAACGTAAAGAATGGAAGAAGGTAAGGCCTGGCTTTGCTTTAGATTCTGACTTGCCTTCACATCCCCTGCTGATAATTTAGAGAGTGGGAATAACGATGGTCCGTTTTCGGGGTCACGGGGACAATCTGCATGCTAACTGTAGTGAGTGACAGTTCAACGGAAACCATCTTTTAGTTTGGGAGTAGTGTTGAGTAGTTTCATCAGTTCACGTTGGTAAACTGGGTTATCTGGGTTTGAGGGGCTCTTCAGATTTGATGATAAATTTCATCTTGAGCGATCAGACTGTAATCAGTTGGTGATAAACACTGATATGAGCAGGTCTGGACCTCTGACTGTTCTGTTGTGACCCCAGGGGCGGATATGGACTTTTTTACAAAGGGGTGGCACAGGAAGGTGGCCGAGGTGTCCTTTAGTGGGGCACAGTCTGGATTTGAAAACTCAACAAGGCTGCCACAACTAATTCCAAATAGCTTTACYTCAGCTGTTTTAAGAAATACTTAGCTTAAACTGTGTGATCATAGCTAAAAATTATCAACAAAAAAAACATGCTAAACACTAGACACGTTTTATTCAGCCATTTTCAGACATAAAAAAATTAAAAGATATAAAAAGMTTATTTATACAATTACAACAACCTCAGTTGGCCAAAGTGCTTCACAACAAACACATCACATGTAGTTAAGGATAGAAC